AGGGAAAGAAGGATATATTGACAGAGGTTACAACTTGCCATTTCATAGGAAACCTGGCATCTGTTTTAATCATTTATAATGATTTCATTTCAGCATCCTTAACTATTAATATTTACCCTTGTAATGAAGATGGATCGGGGCTGTAAGCTAGTACGATAGTTCACCACCTTTCATGGAGTACACTGAGCACAGCACTATTTTGTGAAAAGGCTTCTTAATTCTGTTATCAGCATGAGGTATTGACTGAGTAGAAAGTAAAGATTAAAAGGGGACCCCTCCTAGTTAAGAAGGATTGCAAACAAAGTCTTCTATTTGCTAATCTAAGTGTGGGGACACCAACCTCTGCCACATGCAGAGTGCCAAGCCTGGCCATGTAGGCACAGAACAGGTCAGTATCACAGGGGCAGCAGTACAGTAAAGGCTCTATGGATAGAAGAGATGATGGGTACAGTTTCCTTAGTGTTCAAATTGCACAGCTAAAAGCTACCTTCAGAGGAACATGCCATCCCTAGCAAGCCTTGAGATGTGGCCGCTCTGTTTTTATAGGAGAGGTTAAGTTATATTTCAGTTATATTTAACTTGTTATGAAGCTGGCTAACCTATGACTCCTCACAGTTATTTATTATATTCATGGACAGCAACACTGCACTGCCAACAGTGCACACTGCACTTACTTCAAATACTTTGAAAAAAATGCTTTTTAAGTACTATCTGGCAAAACAATCAACTTTAACACATAAAATTAGGAATTTACTGCTTTTTAGTTTTAGTTTTTGTTTTCCATCCTCCTTCCACTTCCTACCTTTTTAAAGACTTTGGCACTAAAAAGCAGCCTAGTTAATATTTCTAAGCTCTCCAGAACACTTGCAAGAAGTGCTAGGACATTATCTTGCATAGAATATAATTTAATGGTAGTTAATGGCACTTTAATTTGTCGATCACTTTCTGAAAGAAAGCAAACAAGACTATTCCTCTTTGAATAGCACTGACTTAAGGTTCTGTGAGCAAAATCTACAAACTCCATTCAGTGCTATTTGTTGTTCCACTATTCTAGCCCCAGGCTAAGAGCCACTGCAAAGAAGCAGAGAGCTACGCTTTTATACAATATTTC